ATCTCCAGCGATCTTGTTTTCCCGTGTCCTGTCCAGCATTGTGGCACTCAGAATTGTTGTCTGAGTGTCAAAGTGAGGCCCAACAGATTTACTTTCACAAGCGGAGCATTGATGGTGTCACTGTCAATAGAAGTAGGACCCAGGAATGCAGACACACACAGCTTGAAGATTTTTTTTAATTTATTAAACTCAAAAAAAGACTACTGTAAGTGTATAAAATAAAAAAGAAGACACTGAGGAGAACTGGACATGGTCCAAACAATGCCAGACTGTAGGCATGGTGAAGACTTGGTGCCTAAAAGGGTGAGAAGAGGGGAGACGTCTGAACAAAATGATAACAAGGAACAGGTGTAAGTGGGTGGGGCAGAACCAGAGTGTGATGGCTGAAGATGGAAAATAGCTGGAAGCGCAGGAAGACAATGACACAAACTGAACACAAAGAAAATACATACAGTATACTAAACCAGTGGTTCCCAACCGTGATCCTTGAGGAACACCATTCTGCACTTTTAGTTGTTTCCTTGCTTTAACACACCTGGTTTGAATGAGTGAGTGATTAACAAGCTTCTGCGGAACACGAAGAAGTAATTAAATCACTGAATCAGGTGTGTTGGAGCAGGGAAACAACTAAAACATGCAGGACGGTGTTCCGCAAGGACCAGGGTTGGGAACCACTGCGCTAAACATCATCAGAAATTAACATGAAAATAAACTCAAAACAGAAAACTAAACACTGAAACACACAGATCATGGCTGGTGGGTGGATAGCAGACGCTAGCGACAACATTTTCACCTTGATCAGGTGTATTGCAACAGTAAAAATATGAGTTTGATCCTCATCTTTGTGACAAAGAGATCACCTTAAGAAAAAACACGTACACGCCTGAAAAATTAGCAAAACATTCTTGCATTGCTTGACTGATTATGAAGCGTTCCAGCCACCTGAGTAGGTGTTCTGCAGAAAAAGAGTTTTGTTTCTGCTCGTTCTCTAACCTGTTCCTATACCTGTTGAGTTTTACTCACTCTGTCAGTTGGTAAAAGTACCCTTTCTATCGCCCACTGATGACGATGAAAGGTGATCATGTTTTTTTTTTTTTTTTGCCCTTGTCGTTTGTGTGTGTTTGTGTTTGGCTATAACACAGACATTTTTACAGATGCTGAGCAAAAATTTGGTGTGGCAGTGGCTGAGAGTCATCCTCGATGAACACTGTGAATGTGACACATCTGGTGTGACCTCACAATATCACATCGGGAATAACGCTGTTTACAAGGTTTGACCAAAACAGCTCCTATAACTCCATTCCTTCTGAGGGAAAGACGATTATAGTAAATTCTGACACAAACGGCAGCGGGTGATATTCATTCCTTCAAGGAATCCAAACCATTAATTCCATTATGTTTTAGCTGCTACCTGCTACTTGTTGACTACACCAGTCTGTTGTGATAGTATCATATCATGACTCAACTTCTGCTCCTGCTTGAATCTTTGTGTCTGGATGTGGTCCTTCTATCTTGTCTTTGCAAACCAGTCATGGCTTTGTTGTGCAATTATTTCTCTTAGGTTACATTTAACATTAACGAAAAAAGCAGAGAACTTCAACGTGGGCTGTTTTAGAATGAACAGTTGCGTACATCATATTTTGCACATACATTTCAATGCGAAGAGTATATTACATAACATTTTTATATTTGATAATATACATGATGATGGAAAAAGGAATTCAGTGACTGGAAATGCACAATGAAGCCGCAGTCCGTACATGTTAAGGCTAAGCCGCAATCTAGAAAATCAGTTGTTTATCTAAGTGTACTACAAGTATACTTATTTTACACTAAAAATGAGGAAGTGTACTTGAAGTTTACTTTTTATAAACTTTATTTGATATACTTAAAAATAGTGTAGTGAAGTATACTTGGCTAATACTGAAAAGTATAAAGAGAAGTCTAAGACAAAGTACATTAATACTAAGCCTTACTGTAAACTTAAACTTTAATACTAAAGCTTATACTTGTACTTATATGCTACTCTTTATTTCTTTTATTATATTTTATATTTTCTTTATCATATTTTATTACTCTTTATTTCTCTTTATTCATAAAAGTGTACTTAAAGTATACTTAAATAAACTGAAATGTGGACTAGAAGTATATACTGTAACTAGTGTAATGGCATTATAGAGAAAAGTATACTTGTGGTATACTTTAAATGTACTTCAACTAACAAAAATGCAACCTACAAGTATATACATAGTACACTAGTAGTATATGGATGAGTGTACTTGAATGTATAATTTGATAAACTTAAAAAAGACCCTACAACAGTATACTTGAAGTATACTTTTTATAAGCTAAAAATGTCCCAATTTAGTCGGAACAAGTATTAAATCAGTATACTTTCTAGTACACTACAAGTACATGGTGTGTAGTATACTTGATATACTTATACTTAACTTGCTTGCAAAAATGAACTTCAAATGTACTACTTTTTGTTAATCATTTTCTTTAGGCTGGTATGGAAAATTGTTCATTTTGAAAACTATCTTGATAGCGTTCATGCAGTTGGCTGACTCAGCAGCAAGTATATCTGAACTACAGAAGGAGAAAACACCCAACGACTTCAGTCGAAGGAGACACGGCAAGATAAAACGATATTTTTGACACAAGGGATTGACAGAATTCAAGCAAGCGATGTTAAACGATTCAAGAATACTGCGTCTGCCATGCCTTAATCGCAGTAGAAGTCCATGTTCTGAAAGAGAAGTGAAACAAAATGTTATCCATCATGTTTCACTCCATAAAAGGACAAAAGGAGAAGTTAACATTTTCTCTTCAAACACATATGTACTCACCGTTGTTGGCATCTCAACTGTGTTTTCTGTGAACTGGTGTGTCTCCTTCACCATAGTTGCAGGAAAATATCCAATTCTACCCATCTGGTCCACATACCGATCACTGTAAACCTACCAATAACATATGCATATATTTTTATTAACAAGCCAGTTATTGTGCATAAATTGCTGTTTTAGACATGCAATGTTGTTCCCTGCTCAACAGAATGGAATGCTGCTCATATAGGACAAAATTAAACTGAATATAAAATCAAAACCTGACCTATGTTGCTTTGAAGGGGCAACAAGTATACATACATCTTTAAAATAAATTATGGCTGTGTTGTGTTCAGCAGAACCAAAAAAAATAAATAAAAAGTGCATACACTTCCAGACCAGAAGACTCCAGTGCCCTCTTCTGGTATGAGTTTAGAATACACATAAACCATCTGACCCTTTTTGATGTTGATGAATCTGCAGTCAGGAGCTATGAAGTCATCCAAAGCTGTAGCCATGGAAAGAACGTCTGATAGAGCAAAGAAAACAACATAGCTTACAACTCCTTCATGCAGGATGTGTATTTTATAGAATGCTGCGCACAATGCAAGGCCTCACTTTAATGCTCTGACTTACATGAACATTCTGCATCTTTGCAGATCTTACTGTCTGCCAGTTTATCCATGAGGACAGCCTCCGTGCTCTGGTGCAGTAGTCCCACACAGAACAGAACCACCAATGAAAAATCCATTCTGAATAAGAGAAAATAATGAAAAATAAGGAAGAGAAAGTATGTTTTGAAGGAATCAAATGCTATAAAGCCCCAAAAGTATTTTCTCTGTGCCAAGCCTGACTGGGCTGTACCATAACATCACATGATACTCAACCAATCAGTGCTGTGCTTCACAAATACCAAACTCCGAGACTCTCCATTACCCACAAAGGAATTCTGACTTTTTTTTTTCTTCAAAACCCACTCCCTTTGCAGCAACAAGCAGTCACTGTTCACATAAACACTATAGTTTAAAATGCAAAAATGAATTAAAAAGAAATCTTTAACTCTTGTGACACTAAAAGGCCTAAAACATGTAAGTTAGATCAAATGCAAATAACAATAGAGTCCAAATAGCTGCAGGAATGTGTACAAAATATGACAAAATAAACCAATTTCAACTAATATTGTTCAAGTGAGCAACTGCAAGTAGCAAACTGACAAACAATAAACTGCATAACAACAATAATGTTGGTGACGGTTTCCATTTAAAAAGTTTGGAGATTACTTTAGGAAACTTTCAAATTCTGAAAAAGGCTAAATGGTGTAGGACACATTTTAGTGATTTAGACTTTAGATAATATGTGAAAAAGAAGCATTGACACTGAAAGCTTAGCAGTAGTAGTCCAAGTACACGTTTAAGTCACCTGTGGTCATAAGTTATTGCTGAGAAGAGATTACAAGATTATTTGAATCCCCTAAAAGAAAAAAAAAGTATTCAATCAAAGTTGCAGTAACTTCAAAATAAATAAGGTGGACACTGCATGGGCACTTCACTTATAAACAGTTTGCAAACTATGTTTTCTTTAGCGATCCAGTGTGATCAATGTGCTAAACAGCTGATATGTTTATTAAATTATGATTTTTATTCCCAATATTAACATATTGCAAGTTAAGCTCTTCTTTAGTCCCCAGAACTTGCTTCAAAATGTGTCAACTTGTGTTGCAGTGGTGTTGCATCAAATGTTTTCTTCTCCTGACTCATCTGAGATCACGTGTGTTCCTGTTGTAAAACAGCAAATCATCTGAATCAGCCTTTAGATCTGCTCTGATTATTATAGGACTATGTTTCTTTTTGCCCATGAGCACTTTGAAAGCATCTTTTTAGCCTTTAGATTTATCCAACCTCTTCTTTTGCTTTGCGTCCTCTCCTGCTTAATGTGTATTTTCATAATGACTAGCACATGTAGAGAGAAGCTTTAATTTTTTTACAATTTGCTTTTCTGGGAACTTTATTGTGGAGGTTTTAGTAAACAAATATTGTTTATTTTTGTTTTGTCATTTACTTTTGATCAAATTTCACACCCCACTGTCACCACACAATGTATGGAGCCCAAATATAGGAAACAAAGCTATTATTAAAAAATAATAATAATCACAACTTTGCCCCTTGGTTATGAAACGTACAATATTCGTTGATTTGTATTATTATTATTATTATTATTATTTTGTGTGTGTTTTGTTTTGGGTGGTGTGAGGTGTCTGATTGATGAAATTACAGTCTTACATAATCATAACAGGCTAACTAATAAACAATGTGACTTATAAACAAGCCCTAAAAGTCATTGAAATACTGTAATAAAAAAAAATGACAAAGCCAGTTATAATGACGGAAAAAAAGGTAATTTATATATTTGGACAATAATTCGTTCAACCATTATTTAGACAGGTTAATACCCAATAAAGAATAATATCAAATTAAGAATACCCAAACCAATCGTTTTAAGACATCTAAATAACGCTGGTCCTATAAGAAATTATCATTTTAAATGTTAAAGTTTCTATCTTTACAAAAAGCCTTTCAAATGTTTTGTAAACACATACGCATTTCGTGTTTTTTGTCTGATGCAAAACCCTGCAAGGCGACGTCAATGTATGTGAATGTTGTGCCGACCTTAGTAGCTAGCCGGGCGGAGTTTCAATCGACACACACTTTGGGGTTAGACCCTAAAAAGGAAACCTCTCACTCGGGCTTTCCCGTTACATAAATCAGGCGCACTTGAATAGTTTCGGCGCTGTGACGTAAGCGCACTGTAAACTTAAACAAAAACTGCGGTCAGGTTCGGACGCTACTCTTATTGTTCGGTTTGATGAGTTCGTAAGGAGCCGGAGTTTTGCTTCAATTAATGGGGGCGACGTAAGATGCCATTAACGGGCTTATTTAGCTAAAATATCAGCCCATATATCCCGGACCTGGGTTGTGTTTCGATGCCATAGCGGTGCATCTCTAGGTAGAGGTAAGCTAACAAGTTAGGTCCCAGAGAAGCCGATGGATGCGCGGGTGTCGGAGTTGTTTGGGTCAGGAAATGGACACTGCTCTGGGTCTCAAGGTGCTGCTTCGAACAACAAACAGGGAAACTGCCTCGGTGTCGCCACCAAAAAGGCTTGTGCAAAGAACAAGAAGGCGAAAGCTCGGTTTTCCCGCAACTTCAAACCAAGCCATAACACCCCGTATCTACCACCAGAGGTAAGACTGAACTACTCCTTCAAACGGAGCTAAATGAAAAGTGCTGTCCACAAACGAAGTCAGGCAGAACAATGGCTCTCTTTGCTAGTTCGTTTCCTGTCGCTGAGGCTAGCTCTCCTACCTTCTTGACTTTTCTCTGAGAGCCTGTAGTGACACGTAGCTAGTCGAAAAGACAATGAATGAGACGGATACATGAAGCTGGGGTTAGCATTTTATTAATGGTCAGACAGAGTTTACTGCTAACACAAGGCTTTGAGATGATGTCATCAAAATATAGCTCGTGGAGGGAAGAAGCTCCTTGGTTTTATTTGGCGGCTATTGTTGTGCTAGCTAAAGTGTAGACGAACAGCTGTGTTTGTAAATAGGGAGGGCGGGTTTATGGAGGCTAAACATATCGCCCAGGAAATAACAGTTATCATATTAGCTTTTAGCGCTTTGACTTATGTTTACTCAAAAACACCACCTGAAGCTCACCATATTTGGACTTGGAATAAATAAAGGCTTAACTAGCATATAGATTTTTTTGCTGAAAGTCACTGTTATAGAGATAATCTCTACTTGTCTTCCCTACGTTTAATCTGCTTAACTGTCGTGATAATAAAATATCTACTAGTTGGCTCGTTTTATCTAGTTTTAGACATTGTGTGCTTTGTTTTAGTAACACAGAAAGTAGCTATGTATTAAGGCTAACTAAGCATTTAGTCACTTTGTTTGGCTTGGTATGGCAAGCCATTTTAATATAAAATCGCGTTCACCACGCTTACATTCCAGATATCTGAAACTGATTTATTTTGACTAGTCAAAATATAATTTAAGATATTTCTAATTACATTATGATTATTATAAATTACGTGAGATTTACCGCCGAGTTGTATGGAGGCTTCAATTCAAGATATCGTAAACTGAATTTTGACTAGTCAAAAATACATTTCTACCATACCACTTTATTCATAGAGCACTTAAAACAGCGACAAGGCCAACCAAAGTGCTGTACAGACAAAACAACAGGTAACACACAAAGCAATATACAAAATGAAGTAAATCAGAATATAGACATAAAAAAACGATGCAGATAATGATGACTAACCAGTGTGGAGCATACAGGATCAAAACACAGATCATCTGGTGTGGAAAGCTACCGAATAGTAGTGGGTTTTTAAACAGGACTTGAAAACCGAGAGGGAGGGGACTTGTCTGACAAGCAGAGGTAACTCGTTCCAAAGTCTTGGTCCTGCTTTAGAGAAGGCTCTGTCACCTCTGTGCTTAAGACGAGATCCTGGAACTGTGAGGAGCAACTGGTCCGCTGACATCTCTAGGTTCTAGATATCTCTAAGTTAATTTTGACTAGTCATTATTTGCTTTCAAGATATCTTACTTTTAGTTCTGACTAGTCATAATTGCAATTAAAGATATCTTAAATTATGTCATTATTCAAGGTATCTTAAATGTATTTTTAGATATCACAAATAAAGATTTGACTAGTGCAAATTAAATTGCGGATATCTTGATAGCAAATAACGACTAGGCAAAACTAACAAAGATATCAAGAACTGTACTTATGACTAGTCAAAATTCCTTTTAAGATATCTTGAATTGTTATTCTGACTAGTCAAAATGTAATTGTTCCTAGTCAAAATTCATTTTTAGATATCTAGAATGTAACTACAGATCGTCAGACTACTCGATTTTATGTTAAAAGGGCTTGCCATAGCCTGCCTGTTCACAGCTGCTCATTCAGTCAGATTGTTTTGCTTTTGGTCTAAACAAATGTTGCACTTCTCTGTGTGACAGCAGCTTTTGTACCTCATTTGACTATTTGTTTCTCTCCCCATCTCAGGCTGAAGAGGGAAATATAGAGTACAAGGTAAGCATTTGTTTTTATTTAGGTTTGCTTTAAATACAACTAGTTGTGTCACTGGATACTTAAGAGGTGTCTCACATTTACGTCAGCTACATCATGACCGCGTTGTTGTTTTTATAGGTTTAAAACTAGTCTGTTAGGAATGCAGCAATATAATATGTCAAAAGGTAAACTCCATGTTGGAGCTCCACATCAGAGTGGATCAGTTTTATTACCCGACCTTTGTTTCTCAACCACATCATCAATTGTATTCCAGTTTTGTTTACTTGGTTTTACACAAGTTGTGTTTACTTAACGTTCACCACAATTAGATGTACCTTTCTGACACTTTGGGTTTAAGTCAACGTTTTTCAAGCAAGCGCTTAGCTTCTCCTTTTTTTGTGTGTGTAGCTGAAGCTAATAAACCCCACGCAAAACCGCTTCGAGCACCTGGCGACTCAGATGAAATGGCGACTGCAGGAGGGTCGAGGTGAAGCCGTGTATCAAATAGGTGTTGAGGATAATGGCATGCTGGTGGGGCTGTCAGAGGAAGACATGAAGGCATCGTTAAAGACGCTCCACAAGCTGGCAGAGAAGTGAGTCCAGAAAATATCTGTTTTTTTTTTAAATGATCTTTGGTTTAATTCTATTTGATTTACTACCGGGCAAAAATAACCCCACGCACAATAAAAAAAGAAGTCACACGCATGTTTGGATCAGTCTTTACTGTCGCACACCGCTGTTCAGGCATCATTTAAACAATCAAGTCCAATGTCACAGGGTTTATTAAATTCCAAAGATGGATGGATTTGTTTATTTGACAATAAATGCATAACTGTTGGTTTCTCCTCAAAGATTTTCAGAAAGGTTCAAATCTGGACTTGACTGTGACCAGTTTGTTGTTGACGTCCAAAACTAGCAATTCACATGATAAAGGAGGACCGTCAGCCCAACAATTGGTCGTTAGTTTCCTGATGGCTGCTTGCTATTCACGGAGGGCTGAGTGATGTAATAACAGCAGTGTAAGAGGGTGTCAACTGGACACGGAGGCCTCCGCCCCTGTTTAATGATGGACGGGTTCTTTTCACAAAGATGGCCTCCTTCACTCTTCTCTCAAACCAACATTCCTCTCAATAATAGCAAGCAGCCATCAGGACACTAATGACCAATTGTTGGGCTGATGGTCCTTTATCATGTGAACAGCTAGTTCTGGATGGCAACAACAAACTGGTTGATCTACTATGTGAAGGTGCTATTTACAAGATTGACTTTATTACTCCTTAGACTGACAAAGGTTTTGGTATAAAAGACGAAACGTTTCAACAAGGTTTTTTTTTTTAATCCATCCAGAGGACCTGACGTAACTTTGTTTGGTTTTTCTACCTGGATTATTGAGCATGCATCAGGATACAGTTGTATAAATACTTCTTGCTCCCAGAGCCACTTTTTCACAATTCAAGCTAAATAAATGTTCACATTGGCATCTTGTAATAAGTTCATAAGGGGAGAAACGAGTTTATTTATTAAAAGAGATTGAACATATGGAATATTAGGGTTATGCACTTCATTTTGGGGTTTATAACATTTTAATTTTAACAACAAAAATAACTGAAAAATCAACAAAACAACAAAATTTTGACCTCCAATTAAGCATAATTATTCTACTACGTAAGCAATTCAAGGATTGACGTTTATGTTTTTATCAGAGTTGGAGCTGACATTGCGGTTCTACGAAAACGGGAGGTGGATTACGACTCCGACGTGCCTCGTAAGATTGCTGAAGTTCTCATTCGAAAAGTTCCAGATGACCAGCAGGTTAGTTTTGCAACTTTAAAGACTTTTTTTTTACTACTTGACGTTTCAAATAATTGTTTTTCTTTATCTTCTTTTTGTTCCCCAGTTCTTAGACCTGCGAGTAGCAGTGCTAGGTAACGTGGACACCGGCAAGTCCACCTTGTTGGGTGTTTTAACTCAGGGAGAACTGGACAACGGACGGGGAAGAGCGAGGCTCAACCTTTTCAGACATCTGCACGAGATCCAGACTGGACGCACCTCAAGCATCAGCTTTGAGATCCTTGGATTCAATAGTAAAGGAGAGGTAAGAAAAGACCTACCAGTACTTTTAAAGTATCCACAAAGTTTATTTTGTCTTACTTTAAATGGTAAAGCAGTTATAGTATTAGTTATTTTGTGTTTGTTTGTTTAAAAAGTGTTAATTCCATAATGTTTGATTTGCTGAATCAGCACATCATTCATCAAATTATTGTTTTTTTGTTTTTTTCCATTAATTTATATATTGTTTTACCATTTTTTTAGGTCGTAAACTACAGTGAGTCTAGGACTGCAGAGGAAATTTGTGAGAGTGCCTCTAAAATGATCACATTCATTGATCTGGCGGGTCACCACAAGTACCTGAAAACCACCATTTTTGGCCTCACCAGCTACTGTCCAGACTTTGCGATGCTGGTCGTCAGCGCAAACACCGGCATTGGTGAGCAGTAATTGAATGAATTGTCTGGTTACATTTTTTATGTAATATAGTATTGTCTGCCAGTACATGACTCTCAGTAAACTACACGTACAGGCCAAAACAAGACTGAACGGGAACACCAGCCCTCCACTCTGTACTGGGCTTATTCAGCTGAAGCATGATACATTGCAGACATGTTAGCTGAGCTTGCATAACAAACTTGGCACCCAACGCTGTCTCCTCCCCCCGCCCCCACCCCCATTTCTGTCAGCACTGCTGGTCCCAAATGATGTCAAACAGAGTACATTTATAAAAGAGTTATTTGGCACCCAGGAAGTAGTTCTGACCCTGATCTGACTCTAAAGCTGACTTATGAAAATGGATCTGCTTGCAAACATTGTAGGTACGACATTACACCCTCGTTCAAAATTAGGTGCAAAAAAACAATGAAAACAGAGCTTTGAACATTTTAGAGGGGTACTATATATATATATATAAATGTATATGTATATATATGTTTATACTAAGTAGAAAATAGTCCTTAGACATTCAAAATGTATTGTTTCCTGTTTAAAGAAATGTGACATAATGACAAACTTCAGATGAAGCTCAAAACAAACTTGTATTACTAGAATGAAAAGAAAAATCTTGTCAGCAATGTGCTGTAATCTTCCAAAGCAAACAAAGTATTCATCAGGTATTGAATGAAAAATATATTCAAGTATTTTTATTTGAAATACTAACATTTAAATATAAGTTTGTTTTTGTTTTTTTTACCAATAAAATGGAAATAGTGAGCTTTGCTTGTTTAATTTCTAGATTATATATATATACATTATTGTGCTTTGACCAAGCAAGACGCATTCTTTTGACAGAGCGTTAGCCTGAAAGCAGGAAGCTTGTACACAGAGGAGTACTCTGAAACCTGAGCAGCTGAGGATTAATGGAAGGACAAGGAAGTCATTCGCTGATAAAGATCATTGACGTTTGTTGCTGTATAAAAAAAACTAGCTTATTTTGAGGATGTTTGTCACATGTGCTACTTTAAATATTACATAAAATGCATCTGAAGCAACCGCATCAAGAGGCACTATTATTATCTCTATTTCTATTTGAAAACATGCAAGTGGACACTGATAAGAACAAGATGTGAAAAGCCTGAGGCCACTTCTGTTTCACCCTTTAATACATGTTGTGTGCTATTAAAACTAGTCACATGTTCTTTTGGCCAATGGCAGAGTTTTGTAGAGCACATGAAACCCGAGCCTCTGAGACAACAGATAGTTCTTCAGCATGTTAACTATACTTAGGCCCTTATTATTATAATAAGGATTGTTTTATTGTTGTGGTAAAAGAATAAACAAAATGAATATTGACACACACACGTTTCAGTTTGTAATTTTTGGAAAGTAGGTTTTTTTTTTTTAGGCTGAATACAAATGTGTGAATACTTAATAAATTGGGCATTTGTGTTTTTACGTGTGCATTTAAAAGAAAAAGGAAACAAATATATAAATCTTAATAAACACAGTCATTTTTCTGTGCGCTTGAACTCGCAGACTTGCTGCGTTGTCTACATTTCTGTTTATGTCTGCACTGAAATAGGCCATTCTGTCAGAAATGGGGTCAAGAATGAACACTAGTCTAAAGTTGGCTCAGACATGATGGGACATGCTGTCTGCAACCCAAGAGCTACAGCTTTAATTATGAAGCAGTAATGAATCTCTGGAACACACAGGGATCATCTAAGGTTGTGTGTGACAAACCAAAAGGCCAAAAAGCTGCTTGGTAATGCTTTTAAGATTCAAACCCCAATTTCATTTGCAAGGGATAAAAGAGTAAAATATCTGTTTTTCATATTTACCCTGGATTTACTGAACTTAGGGACATTACGCTTAAATCTTTGGATCAACGTGGAGACCTATTTTTGAAACTGTGATATAACCTACTACAGGTATCACTTTAGTGCAAGTGTTCAAATAAACCAAGCCCACCAGCTGTTCTAAATCACTGCCATCTAACAGAGCAGTCACTGAAGAGTTATTTGCATTCTGAACACCTTCACATTAGAGATGTCAAGTCTACTTCTCTTTGAAACATCATGGCTCCACTCAGTCTCTCCTGGACTGTCTCGATGACATTAGAGGATGGATGCCACTTAATTTCCTCCATTTTAATGAAAAAACACTGAGATTATGATCTTTAAATCCAGTGGTCCTAGCAGTTTCCCCACCTTTGATTTTTCCTCTTTGGCCCCATATGAAAAATCCATTGTTACAAATTTAGGGGTGAACATGGACCCCTGCTGAAACGTGACTGCCATGTCAACAGCGTGGTTAAGTCCTCTTTTATTCAGCTGAGGTGCCTGTCAAAAATCAAGCCCCTCCTTTCTAGGTGCCACTTAGAGACAGTAATCCACGCTTTTATTATATCATCCATCACTTTCTGTTTTTAAAACTTGTTTAAAAACTTTTTTTTTTCCTTTTGGCTTTTAACCTAGAGTGAGCTAGCATCTGTGTCTTAATGTTGTACTCTTTCCTTGTACTTGTGATGTTTCGATTTCTATTTTCTTCTTATTATTATTGTTTGATTATTGTTCTTAATTTTTATTCTTGTACAGCCCTTCGGTTGTCTGCAATGTTGTATTTCAATTGCTTTAGAAATAAAATGGTATGGTATGGTATGGTATGGTGTGGTGTGGTATGGTAT